CTCCTTCATAGTTGAGGCGGATGTCTGTGAAAAGAGAGGAACATTAGCATCTTCGTTCGAGAAGGACTTTGAGAACTGGTCAGCAAACATGTTAGCTTTGTCATCTGGACTACACGCTATGAAGTCTCCACATCTCAGAGGCCCGATGCACCCTTTGTCATGCAATTTTCCATTCAAATACCTGTAAAAGTTTGTATCACCAGACTCTACAATCTTCTTCTCGATGTTACTGAAGTACTTTCTGAGGCGTGTGAGAAAAATCCCTGTGAATTCACTGTACTTGGACCAGTTTCCGGTTCGTCTTGCTTCAAGGAAGAGGCAATCCCGATGCTCACTCATGTTCCTCAAATAACGTGGTAAAGGAATAGACTTAAACGAGGTCACTTTCTCCCAAGGGACATAGTAATCAATGGCAGAGTGCAGTACTGTCAATAGCAACTCATACTTCTCATTGACACTACCACAGCTCTCAAGTAAGTCAACCCAGTGTATGCGAGAAAGATCACTCCGTAAAGCTCCAAAGTCACATGCAGAATATACTCTCCGAAAAGTGCTTAATGCCTTGCTGCTATACCCGACGATTTCAAAAGTGATGCTGCTGTGGTCACGGTACCCAACTGGAGAAAGTATTCTCAGACTATTAACAAGATCCGGCTTGCTGCTGACAACAGTATTGACTTAAGATCTCTCCAATCATAGTGGTTGTAGTCTGAATAATGTTTGAAGACTTTGGGAGTTGATTATTCCCGTCTGAGGTATGCGCCCAGCATTCGACCCCCATTCGGAATCGTAGGGCGTAATGAATGCGTATAAGGTAAATACAGCGACTTGCGGTGGCCAGCCGATGAGTACATCAGTCATCAGTACTGCCATACAAGTTTGGTACCAATTTAAACAGCCCCGGCGGTTTGGAAGGCTTGGTTGGCTTGGACGGATATCGACCTGGGATTCAACCCCTGACCATTCGTGGATGTTAGTGCACCACTTGCCACCATACCTCCTTCGTTAGTCATTGCGATAGCGATGTTTTATATAACAGCAGTCTTCCTCACAAGTTCGAAAATAATTCCAGACTTGTGATCAATAAAATGAACCCAAAACATCACAATAGCACTTGAATGCGGAGGTTTGCCTAAGATCACCAAAAGTCTATCCCTCCGGGGTTGGTTAACTGGTACAAGACTGGCCTGTCAGGATAAAGGCACTGACTTGTACATCGGCTGGACACCGCAATTCAATGTACAATCCATATATGCATTCAAACCGCCCTAAGACCCCGAATGGATGTCGGAAGCGGGCGCATCCCACACAATCTACTATCCCGGAAATGGAGCTGAATGGTCAAAACTCATTTGATTCTATTAGATTAAGGATAAGGATAAAATCTTTGGCGTTAATCAATCCCGTTGGAAGGATGAGCCCCCGCACTCGACTTCCATTCAGAATCGTAGGGTACCAATTAACGGAGGGATGGAAGGTTTGGCTGGCCTGGGCGGACATCGAACTGGGGTTCGAGCCCATGACCGTTCGTAGGAGATAGTGCGCTACTTGCCACTACAGTAGAAAATTATAACCTCCCGATGCAATGGCAGATTGTCAGAAGTGAGCCGAAACAAGATTTCAATTTTCCTAACCTTTTTCTAATTTCATATCCAAAACTACATAAAATAAACCATCTGCGGAAGTGATCAACTACTCCTACCACACGAACTTGGTCTGTTGGCCTAGCACGTTGGTCAGGACGTTCCACTGCTTCGCTCGGTATGGCCGACAGCGGAGGTGGCAGTATAGAAAAATCCAAAAATCATCACAATCACCAAATATTGAATTTTTCATTAAAAGGGTATGCCACGTATAGGCATGTGCATGAACAGCTGTACTGGGTACACAGCCATTCTGCACCAATTTTCTGTCAATAATTCACTTATGGCATTTTCACTAGCGATATTTCATAGTTATACGCTCTCCCAGATAGTTTTACAAGTCTTTCTGGCCTTGAAATAGGGTCACCCCTTTGGGGCACTCAAAGTCTCTTAATCTTGCCTGTATTTTCGCCGGGAACGTTTCACACCGGTGCCAGCCTTACCGCAGATCGGTTTCTAACCTACAATGCTGCTCATTACACCCAACCAGGTCTCTAGATGTTCCATTTACTTGTCACTACGACGTGTTGTTCAGCTCTAGAAGAAACCACTTCCGAATGAATGTTGAAAGTCCACCGAATTCCAATATTCAAGCCTCTACATCACTTTTCTGAATAGTCTTTCCATCATAATGAAATTCATTTTCGATCACTTACCTTCTATAGCACTTTCTTACTCCTCTGGATGACGCTGATACTTTAGAGGAACAGCTCAGGACAGAATTGGTTTCTGATTTTTCCCGCTACCCGAACCCCTGGTCGCAAGGATTTCATTAGGAACGCTGTCGCGTAAGGGCGATATAGGGGCTCTAAGAGGATGCTGGCCAACGTACACGCTCAAAAAAGTCCGTGTTATGACGACCTTGTCAAGGTTGCGGCATTCACAGTGAAGTGTTAGGACGCCGAGAAGTAATACGCTTACGTGGGAGACACCCAGACAGTTAGAGACACGTAAGTTTGTGTAACCTCCTGTCTCAACCTTTCCATTTAAAACCTTATAATTCCCAAAGTCCGTCGATTTCCGCAGATTTTGATTGATCTTCACCATGATTCCATTATTGCACTTGAGCTCATGACACAGAATTATTGTGAACTACCCTTTCAATGGAGATCTTAGCTTTCTCTTAAGTCGCTATTATTTATGAAGTGGCCAAGGTGTTGCAGATCATGTTCTTATTGTCACAGTTCCAAAAATCTATATAAATTGCATGATACGATACATGGGTGCCGGAACTTCTCCTCGATTTCCCACGGCTAGCGGCAAGGGTCACGCGGCGTCCTAACCTTGCACAGGGAATTCAACCTTTCCCTTCAGAGCGGGCGACTGCGCGCGATCGGGTGCGGCCAACGCGACGTCGTTTTCGGGGAGAAGATACCGGACTCTGCGATACATAGCCTAATTATAGTTCAGGGGGCCTTGAGGGTATAGGCTTCGAGGTCTGAGTGATCGATCAGGCTGTTACTTTGTTACTTACTTCGTCTGTATTTACTGTAACTTATTGAAAAAGTAATGCTGTTTTTTAGCTCATGGGGACGACGAGTCTTGAGCAAAACACTGGCCTCAGACAGTACTCGAACCCGAAAGTGCGTAGGGCACAGTGCTCTTCATCCCTCTGTGCTGATGGTGTTGTCAATGTCTCACCCATGACTCGTCATCCTTGTGGGAATGATTCTTGGGATCCGTTGCTATCTCGTATCCCTTATTGATGCGAAATAACAGCACTTATCAAATACCAGAAGTAGAAATCAGTTGTTTTCTAGACTTGAATGCTTTCAGAGGATGATCATTACTCTTCTACGAAAAACTTGGTGGCAACTGATTCTTATAGGTATAGCTGTGGTACGTTCGATTTTTGTTTGTGAGCATAAATTACTGTGATTTTTGAACGGAAACCTACAGTACGATCTATTCGTCAGTTATTCAGTTATTTTCCTATTAAACAACTTATTGAACTATAAAATTTATTTATTCAGAAGCTCAGGCAGAGCTAAAAACTTTGAACCGTTTCTAGAATTTGTTCTGGTATACTTCGATGAGTTGTGTTCCTGGGTTGGTACCTTATCGATAGCCATCTAGCATGCGGTGGATATGGAACTTCATGCCTTTTTCTACCTCAGATGGGGTGGGGTTCGATGACGCCCTCTCAAGGAAAGATTCCAACGTAGATTGCTAAAGTTTCGGAGCAGCGCCCTTTAGCAGTACAGCGAAGTTGTAACAGTAAAGGATGAGGGACAAGGCTTTCAGTGCAAGTTTTCAGGGTTGGTCCGTTTTCGGGGTGCGCCTTGGTATTTGACTTCCAGTCAGGATCAAAGTAACGATTGAAAGCATATGAGGGTCAGCTGATGGTTTGCAGGGAAGAGCAGATACTTAGCTAGGTACTTTCGTCCCCAAAGCAGATTTGGCACCAACTTGCCAACCATGGGGCTATGGAACGCTTGCTGGCCACGTGGTAGTCCAGGATTTACTTCTCAGGCCATACGTGTAGTAGTGCGCTACTTTGTACTATGTACCTCCTTGCAGATGGGAATGATACAGCAAAGAGTCAACTTATGGAAGAAGAGCTGGAGGATGTCTTCAGTTATTGCCCATGCTTGAATAAAATTTCAAGCGCCCCTTCACTGAACAGAAGGCTGAAGGATCGACAATTTGGTGTAGGCGAAAATCATGGTGCCATGTAAACAAAGGGAACAAAAAAAAAAGTCGTTGTGTTTGCGAAAGTAGCGTTTGAGCAGGGAGGCAGCGGCTATCAGCGGTCACCCATCTGAAAGCGGAACGGCGTTCGAAGCCGTCACTATACGTGTGAAAAATTGCGTCTGTCTATGTACCAAGAAATCTTATACTGTCTGAGGAACCACCTGGCGAGGTTGGGTCAAGTTTAGTATGTGTTGGGCATAGGGCAGATGAAGACCGACATCTGAGACTTTCACACGCGCTTCCTTGTTTGGCTTGAGCAGTCCAGATACCAGAAAAAAGGAGCAGCGGTGGGGGGATGGGATCACAAATGGAATATGAAGACACACCCGCGGTGGGCAGAATGCTTTCTCAGTTGGCTGTACTTTTCACAGACATTCATAATACGATCCCAGGGTAGCTCATAGGCCACATCCTCGAGAGGTACAGCTCGGATTAAAAAATCTTCAATCCGTTTGAAATTGAAATTTGAAAAAATCAAAAATTATAGGAATAAATGATTGAATATATTTATGACTTTGCTTGATTTACTGTGATGCACGCGTTGAGTGTGGGGTGCGCTTCGTTGCGCGTGTCCGTCGAAACTAGGTCACGCCGCAGCCGTCGTACGCGGCGAGTCGGCCCGCGATATTTGACAGACGTCGCGATTGTCACTGGGGCATACGCTTTGCGTTTGGTCCACGGCCGTCAGTTCAAGAAGAAGATAACACAGACAAATGCAAATCATTTGCTCCAATGACACTTTCTGGTACTGTAATGTCATCTCGAGACCTCAGTGTGATGCGCCGCGCGCGAAGTGGGTGGGGTGACCTACTTTCGACGGACACGCGCAACGGACGTTCTCCTTGAGTGCGTAGCCCAACTGACATAATAATTGCTGCGTATTCAATGTCATATCATTAGGAGGTACCACTGTACCGTATCTATTGGATCCTACCGAGTTATGATAGTCATACTTGTATATTCGTAGCAACGGTATAGCGCGATGAGAAAAAATGCGGTAGGAAGGAATAAAGCCATTGTTTTGCAACGGAATATCTCGTCTTAAAGCATCAAAGGTTCTCTCAAGGAGAGGATGGCTCAGCAGAGGGAGTCTGGGAAGGAAGGGGGAAGCTTACGTTAAGACAGTGAAAGGGTTCATTCATCTTCCCGCTGAGGTGGCTGAAACGGAAAAATTTCATTGTGGTTGTGATCCCGGTCCACTCACACTACACACGCCAATCTTATTATAGTTAGTTGTCTCAGTGCGTGACTTGTCGTTCGAACATTCGTCGATTTTCCAAGGGTCTCTCGGGTACCATACCGTAACCTACATCGCATAGCTGAACATCCATACTAGTAATCATCTTTTTGTAGTACGCTTTTGAGGGAGATCGATGGAATGCCAATTTTTTTCTTAAGGACTTGTTTGGTACTTACATACTTGTATTACTCCAGTATATCGGCATACGGTACACTGGTAACTGGAAAAAGAAGCCATCTACAACAGTCACTCCCACTTCAACAAGAAAAGCAGATGAAATAAAATTTACTATTTTAAAGAAGGTAAGCGATTCGTTATAAAGAATTCAAACAATTTTCAAATCAACAAGCTCGTCCAAGAGTCGGCGGTTGATGAAGTCGTATTGCGAGCCATCATCAGGGAACTGCTTACTTGTTGAAGACCGTCCTACTCTATCGAATGACAGGTAAGTTAGCCTCCTAGTATTCGGCTGTATCTTATGGTCTTTCTAAAGCACCAACAGACGTCTGACTGCTTAAGCCATTCAAGTTAGTAAATAAATGCATGAGAATGGCTAAGGCGATTAAACCTAGCTGGGAATAACGAAAATTGGAAATTGGAAAGGGAGGAAATTAACTAATAAAGGATAAAGCTGAGATTGAGAACCGCATGTTGCTCTTTAACTCCCACAAAAGTTGATAATGCCATGTACTCTTTGGTAATGAGCGGTATATTTCAGGTTGTCAGTGCGCCGTGTCCTTTTATACAAAGATTATGACCAAATGAGTATTAGCTCAGTTGACTTGGAAACACCTGAAGGTTAGTTCGATTTTACAAATTCAAATTCTTCCGCTCATAGTCTCTTTAAACCTCAAGTAACTATTTATATGCCATCATGAAGAGGAATATGCCAGCTCTTCCCGGGGGCGTGTAATACTGAATGAACCTCGTAAAGTTGTAGGTAGTAATTCTGTAAACTTCGATCCACCACATTCTTAACTGGAACTCGCGGGCTGCATAAAAAATAGTTCTCTGTCTAGCCGAAAAAAAACCGTCTTCATCGAGCCTAGTCGGTCTGGTGACTATAGAACATTATTGCTCATGGTCTGGGAGTCGGATCCGATTCCTGGATAAATACCCACTAAGCTCCATCCCTCTGAGGTCGCCTAATCGGTACCAGACTGTTCTGGAAGGACGAAAGCACTGACTTGTTCGGCGGGCACAATCAAAACACCGCTACGATCCTGAATGCTAGTCGAATGCGAGGCGCATCCCGGTAAACGGGATCGCTCGATGCCAAAAGACTTCATTCCTCGGCCCTGAATTCGTGTTCCTTGTCTTGATAGTTCAATTTTATCTGTTGTATATGTATTTACAATAAAATAAATAAATGAATTTGCTCTGGTGGTCACTGTACTATTGTTGTCTGTAATTATTTACTGTTACAGTGCTCACATGGAAAAATTTCAATAGCCGAAATTGGCCCGTCGACAAGAAGAGGCTTAACTCCCCAGCTTTCGAGCTAATCGCCGAGTTGGGTTTCATGATGGAAGTAAGCAACCCGAATTTCTCCTTCCTTCTTCCAAGAGAGTTTTCTCCCATCATTATGATGCGCACTGTTCTTTCCAGGCGCTGGAGGTTGAGCCTCAAGAGTGGCAAAATGTGCTAATGATTGGCTTAGGAGGTGGAGCACTGAGCAACTATTTTAGTTCAGTGGATTCTATAAAAGTTAGCGACTTTACTTTATCTGTTTTTTTTTAACTACTGGGTATCCTATGTCTAAAAATTTACGAAGAAAAAAGCTACAAATTGTAGAAATGAAAAATGGAGCGGAAGTGAATTTCAGTGCCTCCGAGGTAACGTTTTCTATATATACGAAAAATTCCAAATTAAAGGAGTACGAACGGTCTCGGAACGGTGAGCGGTTGTCAAAATCAGAGACCGACTTTAGAGAAACAGGTCAGGAGACGCCATCCATCGTAATTTCCCGGCTGAAAAAAAGTGACCTCTACTAGGGCTTGTGAAAATGCTTCATCCTTGATCCTGTGTAAAATGGGAGTATCAAACACGACTAGCCTGGGTCACAGTGTGCACTTTGACACCTGCCAATTCGTGGCAGGACCGTCGGTTCCAGTCTTCGAACCTCACGGTTTATAATTCTTTATCCTCATCTCGGTTTATAAGTTTACACAAAGCCGAGGTTAAGTGTGCAGGGCATGATTACACTCGTGTAACCTGTCTTATTCTAGAAGGTGTAACATCATGCCCGCCCCACCCACACAATTCATAGCTAGTTGTCTTGCAACCGGCATACTGTCCAGGCATAAAGCACCTTTCATTTGCACGAGTGACCGCAATATGAAATTCATTAAATTGTTCAATAATTTTTGTGCTATAGTAAAATGCTCTACTGTAAAATAGTGAGCAGGGGTCTCGAAAAAGGGTGATGTTGAGAAAATCGTTGACAATATTTTCAGGTGAACCTTACAGCTGTGGAATTGAATCCGCTCATGAAGACTATAGCAAAGGAGTGGTTTGGGCTACAAGAAACTCCAAACTACAAAGTTCTCATTGAAGATGGAGTAAAGTTTCTCGAAGGAGCTGTTCAACGAGGTTCGTGTATTTTGCTTATGCCACTTTGATCAATAGCTTAATAATAAAGCAAAATTATTAAATTGGCTAGCTCGTCCAAATCTGTGCGAAGCAACGAATTTATGCCGGAGAATCGGATTCTTTTGAACCAATAGGTTAATAACCAATTACTTACTCAATATATCACTCCAGTTATCATCTAAGAAGAGTTTCGACTCGCCAGGCAATTGTTTTCAAAAGATGCCTTCCAGTAAGGGCGCATAGAATGATGGGCAGATGTCTAGAGGAAAGCTTTTTCTCCTCTCCCAGTATGTACTGGGTTGTTTCTTCCTGATGCTGGGTTTTTGTTTGTAACTTACACATTCAAAGAAATAAGTAATAAATACGACCAACATGCAAAGCTTTAACAGTGTGTAGTCTGTGTGTAGGACCACCCGAGTAACCTTCGGGGAAGCCTGCAATACAGGAGGCGCTATAGACCCAGCCTAGGGTGACGAATACGGTCAATTCGCCTTATTGGTATGCCCCTCTTCCTCATTCGGGGAACGTCCGTTTTGCGAGTCCGTCGAAACTAGGTCACCCGCCCACTTCACAACGGCGTAGGTCACTGCGATCTCGAGAGGAAATTACAGTACCACTTAAAAATTACAGTACCTACTGTAAAATTACAGTACCTTGCATCAGTCCGTGTTATCTTCTTTTAGGCTGACTGCTGTCGACCAAGCGCCAACGTATGCCCCACTGACAACTGCGACATTCGTCAAGAATCGCGGGCTGACGCGCCGCGTGTAACTGTTTCGACGGACGCGCGAGACGAAGGCCCCCCCCCTTCCCCCCTCCCCCCTCCGGCGAACGTCCGTTGCGCGTGTCCGTCGAAAGTAGGTCACCCCGCCCACTTTGCGCGCGGCGCACTCCACTGAGGTCTCTGGAAGACATTTCGGTACCACCAAGTGTGAGTGGAGCGAACGATTTGCATTTGTCTATGTTATCTTCTCTTTGGCTGACTACCGTGGAGAAAGCGCAAATCGTACGCCCCGCTAACAGCTGCGACGTCTGTCAAGTATCGCGGGTTGACCCGCCGCATGCGACGGCTGCGGCGTGACCTAGTTTCGACGGACACGCGCAACGAAGCGCTC